CGTCTGATTTCTACTATAGAGCGGCCATTTGTAGTGGATCTCCCGCCACCGAGGGAGCTTTGTGTCCTGCTTGTCGTGAAGCGACTGCCATCAAGTGGCCGTTGGCAGGGACGGTGCTGCCATGTGCATATTTCGAATTTGAACCACCGCCAACGGGCCATGCGACCCCCGCCGGCACGCCGCCACTTCCAGAACAATGCACTCGCCCGCCCAACGGCTACAATGGTCTCGCAACAGCACTTGGAAACCGTAGTTCCGGGTTTTGGCGGTGCCGCTGTCCCAGGCGGAAGGCCGGACACGAATGCACTGGACCAGTCTCGCAACGGCACTTGGAAACCGTGGTACCGGGTTTTGGCGGTGCCACTGTCCCAGGCTGAAGGCCGGACACGAATGCACTGGACCAGGAACACCCGTGCTTCGCCGGGAAAACAAAAGTAAGAAAACATTCTTCTCCGTGAAAAACGCGCTTCTCGGCCTCTCACCCTCACTTTTCTAGTCACCTCCAAGGGCTCCCTAGAGATTTTGGAGGTTTTGCCTGGGGCGCCCTCACTTTGTAAGGGCGGACCCTAAAAGCCGAGAATGTTGAGTGGTGGAACGATGATTTTGTAAGGATCCTTACATTTGTAGTGGTGTGGGACGAGGCCCATGACTAGGGCGAGAAAAAAAAACGAGAAAAAAACGAGGGCGAGTTATATTCAGAGCAAGGCCGTTGTCCCCATCCGAACATAACGCGCACCCCCATCATCATTGCATACAAGCCATGTTCTGGCCAGATACATTCACCGCGAGGGTGCGTTGTGTTCGGGGGAAGAGGGTAGTAAAGCTTTCCTGCGGATATCTAGGCGAGGAGGAGCGACAAACACACCGCATACTATGCGTTGTAAATAAATACAACGCATATCTTGCTTTCTTCTCGAATAAAACCCAGGCACGCGCGTTCTAATCTATATTCGAACACCGCGTTCTATTCGAAGAGCCCGAATATCCGAATACAAGGCGCATGCGTTCTACTCGAGTCGAGTCATCGATTTTTTTTCCTCCAAAATATGCGTTATGTTCTGGTGAAGGCGGACACGTCGTCACCCCCGGGTGAGGTCCCACTAGCAAAGAGGATTGGATTGAACGCGGGAATCTAGAAGTGTTCCTGGAAAAGTGCAGAAATTCGAGATTGAACAGCTTTTCTGCATCTCTGCGTAAAACACGTCCAGATTCAGGAGCTACATCCAATCCTCTTTGCGCTAATGGAACCTAGGCCCCGAACACCCTGATCGTGGACGCACACAAGGCTATCTTTCTCAACCGATGCACAAAAAAAAAAAAGAAAAAAAAAAAGACGAGTGTCAATTATGCTCAGTGCAATCAAAGCTTATCCAGGGGATATATATATCTAAAGCCTTAGCAAGCATATATTAAAAGACCAGTCAGAATATAAGCAGTGCTGATTTGGTTGTGGGGAATAAAAGCAGTGCTGATTTTGTTGTGGCAAAAAAAAAAAAAAAAAAAAAAAAAAGGACCAGTCAGAATGATTGCCCACCCACCCCGTTCGCCGTAGCCGGAGGAGATCTTCCGTTTTCAAGCGTCGAGCGTGACGTTCTTACTGGGCAACAAATAAGCATATATACTTCGATGATACTTCGACGATACCTCGTTTCGCTCGCTTCTCTCCTCTCAGGATGGATCCCACCACCCCCACTGCTGCGCGTTACTATGATTTTATGAAGAGGGGTCCCCCAGCCCACATATTCGGTATTACACGCATCCTCACCACCACCAAAAACCGTTACACTCATCCGTTCTGTGGGACTAGCCAGGGCATTTCCAGTCTCAAAAACTGCACAGCAACTTCAAAAAAAAAAAAAAAAAAAAACTTCAAAGACACGTCGTCGTCATTAAAAAAAAAAAAAAAAAAAAAAAAAAAAAAAAAACCCTTCAAAGACACGTCGTCATTCCTGCTCTACGGTAGCTGTCCTCACATCTTCAGAAATGCGGAACAGTTGCGACTCGCGAGTCGAACATAATAACGGCAATGTTATTCGGATCAATTATCATACTAGAATATACTGCTTCGTTCCGAAAGAAAATAAAAAACCGAGGTCAATCCACCTCTCCTGTTCTTTACTTGCAATCTAGTAAACTACTAAAATACCCTTTTTTGTTGAGGAAACTACGCGGGAGTCACAGAAACGAGTTATAATTGCATTATGGGCCAAGATACAGTTTGCAATTGCAGTTCGGGCAATGTATACAATCCAACTTTCTGGCCAGGTGTAGGGTGCCCGAAGTGCAATTGCAAACTGTTTTGATTTTTGCCCCATAGTGCAATAATAATTTATAACTCGTTTTTGTGACTCTACAACACGTGCAGCTCCCCACGAATAGAATGGAGCAATGTTTAACCAAAAAAAAAAAAAAAGTTGCCCCTTTTTTTGTTTTTCGACAGCCTTGAGATATTATCATCGAACTGAAAGGCCCTAGGCAATTCAGAATTTTGTAGAATTTCACTCCTCTGCTTCCCAGTGGACTACGAACTCGGGTCTGTATTTCAACGGTTGAGGGGTGTATGAGCTGTGAGCTATAGGGCAGTTAATGTTAGCCTATCAGTGAGATTTATTGATTTTTTTTATTTATTTTTTTGAAAAGGCGTGAATAGACGCGAACAACAAGCTTGTTTTCACAATAAGAATGAATCTGATTAGTGATGGTCGTGATCCAGTGTTGAGGTCCGTGGACTGAGTTGCGACTGCGGCTAAGTATGAAAAAGCCAATCCGAGACAGGACTTCAAAGAACACAAATCCGAACAGTTCGCGTCAATTAATCATTTACTAGTTCCACATAGAAGCGAAAAAAGAAGAAAAGAAAAAAAAATCGCCTCGGACAACCACATACGGCAGATTCAAGTCACACAGCATTTTCATGTCTCGTTCGGATGATTAATACTATATTGACTTCTTCAATTTCCGCAAGCAAAAAAAAAAAAAAAGAAACAAGGGTGGACAATGTCCGTCCGTGGATTTATATGAGATAGTCGCGAGGCGTCGTTCGATTGATCCACAACATGTGAAATCGAACTCGTTAAAAAGAAAAGAAAAAAAAAAACGATGTAAATGTGAACGCACAATCCGGCTCCCTTTGATTAATCGACACCAACGTTGAATCGACATCAGACAAGGGGAAAAAATCACCGACGTGAATGTGAACGCACAAGCCAGCTCTTTTGATTGCTCTACACCACGTTATATAGAGCTCAGAGAAGGATGGAAAAATCCCCGATGCAAATGTGAACGCACAATCCGGCTCTTTTGATTGATCGACACAACGTTAAATCGAGCTCAGAATAGAAAAGAAAAATCCCCAACACATGTGAACGCACAATCCAGCTCTTTTAATTAATCGACACCACGTTACATCGACCTCTGGAAAGAGAACAAATCCCGATTTGCAAATGTGAACGCACAATCCGGCTCCTTCAAGTTCGACTGATCGACACGACGTTATATCGAGCGCACAGAAGAGAAAATCACCGATGCAAATGTGAACACAAAATCGGACTCTGTTTACTTCTGAGGCACACCAAGTAACTGAGACAAAATGCAGCTGATACACTCCGTACTCCAAGAGCATGACGGCTATCATTCCCAACTCGAAAACAAACATGAAACAGACCGGGACAAATCGGGTCAATCACTTCTGCTGAGTACGACCAGCCTAACTACGGACTTCAAACAATCATATCAGACAGAGCTGACAAAAACACGACCACATCCATGATCCAACCCTACATGCTTCCCACCCAACCAAGCTAAACTTATAATAGCATACATACATGACGGCGACTCCGATCTGAGAACTGTGACGAGAAGCCAACTCCAACACCCAACTCCCAACTCCAATAGATTTGAATTGTTCGGGTCTCCGTACTCTGAGCCAATTTCTTTTTTTTTTCTTTTTTTTTCTTTTCTTTTTCTTTTTATTCTCTGAGCAAATTTCATCCCAACTACCAAGGGGTACGAAAAAGGTTGATACACCCATGAGCTCTAGGAAACAGCCCACAGTTGGAATCACCACTGAACCTCTCAAAGCTACGGAGCCAATTTGATCCCACCTTCATTGTGACTCACAGCGCGCCAATTGCATCGTGTTCTGGGCCCATCTGGGGAACCTCAGTCCAGGCTCAACAAAAACCCGCATTCCTAAAAAAAACAAAGAAAAAAAAAAACAAAGTGCACTCTACAGTAAAAGCGGAGCAAACAACTGAGGTTAGTACTTTAGCGGGCTCTGCCCAGGCAGCGGCTGGCAGCGAAGGCATACAACGAATACAGAAACAACCGAGAGAACCAATCGAAGAGTCAAACGCAAAAGAAGTCCGCAACGTGGTGTCAGGAATACTTGCGCACACAATAGAACACGATTCGAGTTACTCACCTCGACTGCACTGTGTATACGCACGAGTTCCAATGAAAAAATTGTCCTTCCTGACGAGAAACAACTTGCAATACAACAGACAATACACGTGCCTCAAAAAATGGGCGGGTAGGAAGCATTCCACAAACAATAGCCCTCTCCACCAATTTCAAGGGGCAGGGCACCGCAAAAGAATCATGGTGTGCATATGGCGGCGCGTGTCCGTGTCAAAACGCGACACAATTGCAGTCCAGAGGCCACCAAACAAAAACAAAGCACGAGAGAGAGAGAGAGAGAGAGAAAGAGAGTGAATATGGCAGACCTCGTCCGTTTCAAAGCGCGACATACCTGCACTCCACCAGAAGACGCAAAATAACACAGCCAGACAGAGAAGAGAGAGAGAGAGCAGAAAGAAAGCGGGACATACTTAAATGCTCCAGAGGACACCAAAAAATAGCACAGCCCGAGAGAGAGAGAGAGAGAGAGAGAGAGAGAGAGAGAGAGAGAGAGAGAGAGAGGGAAAGAGAACAAAAAAAAGAAGCGAGAGGGCGAGAGAGAGGGGCAATACACCATTAAGCACGAGGACTCAAATCAACGAGACACTCTGAACTGAAAATTCAGACCATTATTTTAAAGAAATTGTGCCCACATGAGAACTTTAAAACGCGAAAAAGAATGATTCACCCGAGGTGAACAGCAAATTTCATACTCACTACTCTTAAACTAACGATTCTCCTCGAAAGAACAGCGAGCCGTCAAAACCCGGCGAAATCCAGCGCCACGACCGCCTCAGAGACCACTATATCAAAACTTCCTAACGCGACAAAATTGAAAGGCCGCGGTCACTCGACGAAACAACTCAATAGCCACGATAGAAAGATGCCATAATTCCGCGTCGTCCTCACATCGAGAACACCTCCGCGCTGCACTCGTTCTTCTCACGACCCTAAACCCTCCTCCACGTCCTTTCCCACAACTTCTCCTCCTCCGACGCACGTCATTTATCCTCAGACGCACGTCATTTAACCGGAAAGAACTCTCTCTCTCTCTCTCTCTCTCTCTCTCTCTCTCTCTCTCTCTCTCTCTCTCTCTCTCTCTCTCTCTCTCTCTCNTCTCTCTCTCTCTCTCTCTCTCTCTCTCTCTCTCTCTCTCTCTCTCTCTCTCTCTCTCACACACACACACACACACGCACACACACACACACACAGAGGAAAAGGAGAGAGAATGAGCTGGAATATGTCAAGCTAATAAGGCAATCACAACACTCATCAGATAGCAGCTTCCTTAGCGAGCAGTGCGAGCACAGCGTCAGGGGTAGGGAGAGCTGGGATAGCGCCTCTCTCAGTAGTGGTGATAGCGCCCGCCGCACACGCGAATCGCAGCGTGGACTTGAGTTTCGCTTCGTCCTCAAGGATCGAAGGATCCGCGGCAGCGCGGACAAGCAATCCGGCGACAAATGCGTCTCCTGCCCCAGTAGTGTCGATGGCTTTGACCTTGAACGAGTCCACATGTCCGCCGAAGGAATTGGTGTAGTAATCAGCACCATCCTCTCCACGGGTAACCAGGAGGAGTTTCAGTCCATCGTGCCACAGGCTGCGAGCAACCTTCTCGCTGACCTCCTTCTCGCCAGTCAGGAACATGAGCTCCTCATCACTCACCTTAATTATGTCCGCCTCATTCCAGATGCTAAGGATACCTTCCTTGGCGGCCTCTGCGGACGACCAGAGGGGAAGACGGAGGTTCGGATCGTAAGACAAGATAGCTCCTCCCGCTTTGGCAATCTTCATGGCCTCGATGTGCGCTGACCGGCAGGGCTCTGTGATAAGGCTGATCGACCCGTAGTGGAAGATGGCGGCGTCGGTGATGAGCTTCCTGTCCAGCTCCTCAGGAGTCAACAACATGTCGGCGCTGGGATTCCTGTAAAACATGAATTCCCGCTCGCCGTTCATCTTCAGAGTCACGAAGGCCAGCGCCGTTCGCGCATTTTTGTCAAAGGTCATGCCAGAGACATCGACGTTGTTCGACTCCAATACGCCCGCCAGCATGCGGCCGAACTCATCATCCCCGACCTTGCCGATAAAAGCAACCTTCCCGCCCAATTTAGCAATCCCCGCAGCCACATTGGCCGGCGCGCCGCCGGGGGCCTTCTTAAAGGCGGGCGCTTCCGCGAGCGACAAGCCGTTCTCGGTCGGGACGAAGTCGATCAGCAACTCGCCGAAAGACACGACCAAGGGAGCGGCGGAAGCGTCGGAACCCATCTTCCTTCTTCTCTCGTACTAGATCGAGGGAAAGACGAATTGGTGGGAAAGACGGCACCTCCGGCTATGGCAGAAGGAGGTGAGGTGAGAGATCGAACACGATCGTTGGCTAAACGCGAGCAGGGTGCAGCCGACTGCAACTTGCGCACAAAACACTGATGATTCCGACCTCCCCGCCGACCTTTACCTCAGAGGGACAGTGCCCAGCCCGCTCCGCGTGTGCTCACGAACAGGGAGCAGACACGTAATACAACTCGGCAAGAGCACGGAGATAACGCGGATCGCGAAGGCGGGGATGCCTTGGGATGTGGTCGACTGCAAGACAACACCCTGCTCATCGAAATGAACGCTAGGTTTCTGCTCAAATACATTTCCACTTCCGATTTTGGAGGTACATTCTCCCTCGTCTCTCTGTACTCTGAGAGAGAGAGAGAGAGAGGAGGGGAAGAAGGGGGAGAAGGGGGGGGAGAAGGGGAAGAAGGGGGAGTGAGGGCCAGCGTGCAGGGAACACGCCCACCCAGAGGACGTTCCCGCTCATTCTGTCCCCTGACTACGGTAGTGGACGCGGCGGGGGGACGGCACGGGGGAAGGGCATGTCAGTGCCCCCATCGTGCCTGCCGGGCGCCAGAGGAAGTCTCCGTGACGAATTCTTCCATACCGAGTCAGGGTGTTTAGCGCCAGCCCACATAATTGTGAAATAATTTAGGTCTGATGAAGAAACTAAACAAAGAACCTGGCCCAGAATGCGGTGGTATAACGAGCGCGGGCTGCCATTGACAATGACGACAAGTAGTAGCAGGCTCGTTAGGGTATACCGACGCTGCATTCCTCTGCCACGCCAACCATTTCTGTTGACTGGAAGTAGGTAGGGTTCTTCCATGGGCATGTACTCAAAGTAGGTAGGGTTTCCAGACGGAATCTGGCCCTCCTTTCTGAGAAAATACATGCCGAAATTTTCAAATTCGAGTTTGCCCTAATCTATTCTACCTACATTCACAACCATGGGAGCCCTACCGGTAGCGAACCCCGCCCAACACATGTTCCACTGACAAAGAATTAGGTTTTAGTTTTCAATTCTGTTCGTCTTCCACTGTTTCCTCTGCGCCCGTCTCCCCTCCCTTTCCTCCCCCAGACAACTCACGAGCTTTCTTGTTGCGGTGGTTTCCCCAGCTCGGCGCTTGCTTGGCCGCAACTCCGCGCAGCGTCGAGTCGGGACGTCACGGCACTTGCCGCCTCGTTGCCTGAATCCGTTTCAGGCCTGCGCAACCTTCCTTCGTCATGTTCTTGTTTTTTTTCCGCGAAATGGCGACGGCCCTGAGGTATGGGCCCTCGCGCGACACTACTCACCACTTGCACAAACGACAAAAACATTGGAAACGTATCTGTCCGTTGTTCTAGCCGAAGATTCATTCTCATTTTGCACATTTGTTGGAGGTAGCTCGTTCCAGAGTTAACTTCATTCGTCTGATGGCTATCGGGGGTGCAACCCTTTTCTTTTCTTTTTTTCGCCGCATCTGCTACGGTAGGTTGCCCAACATTTCCTGTTTTCTTTTCTTACGTCTTTTCCCTCTTTTAGCGCTGTCTTTATTAGTTGTTCTTTTTTGTTTGTCTTTTTCGGACATTCGTCTGTATTGCACGAAAACGACCGAAACTTACCTGGGCGCTCGGTAGACCTCCACAGTAGGGGGGCAGCAGACGGAGGGAAGCGGGGATAGGAGGGAGTGCCACAGTTCCTAGAGGAGCCAAGGCTCCACTGCCTCGAGTTAGGGGCGGCTCGGTTTCGATCTGGACTATTCGTGTCAATCTGTATTTCCAGGGGGTTGGTCCCCTAGGGGTGTGGTCCCACCCCGTAAGCGAAACTGAGTGATGCTCCCAGCCATCCGCGTAGACTGTGAGGACCCCGGCCTCAACTGTTTGATGAGAATATAAGCCTTGGGCACTGGGCCCGTGTGTTGTTCGCCAAAAAAAAAAAAAAAAAAAAAAAAAGAACAGACCGAAACCCCCAGTAACGCTCGCGACTGCACTACCCCGAGGAGGCGACATCCCGTGAAGGAGGTGAGAAAACCGAATAACCACCATGATACAGCCCCCATTCTCTCCCTGGGGGCTCAATTACACCTTCAGGGATTTTATTATTATTATTATTATTATTATTATTATTATTTTATTATTATTATTATTACTATTATTATTTCTTGCATCAAGAAAGAGGGGGCGGCCACCCCACATAAAGACCAGTACTGGGAGCATTACCCAGCTTCGCTTTTTACAGGACCCTGTTGGGGACCTGATGTTACCGAATGATCTCAATATTCTTCACTAAATCTGCAAAAGGCTATACCCACTGGGAACTAGCTGTATCCACTACGACTATTGTACTGAAACTATCCTAGCTACTGTTACCGAGTCAGAGCACTACTCTATGAACAGACCCTGGCCTCCATCCGGCCGGTTGGACCCCCTTAACACTCTCCAACCTCCTCCCCTTTTAGCCTACTGCGGCATAACACTGTGAAAGAAACACCGAGTGCCCTGGTTGTAAGAACAATCCTAACCCAACCTACCTAGGTATGGTATTCCTCAGAAGGGAGCAGGGTTGGGGGAGGTAGGAAAGGACGGGTGGAAGAGATGGTGGGAGGGCGAAGTGCTCGCGTGGGTAGAACGTGTGATGTTGATGGAGAGAAGAAGGATGGGTGCTGCCGCAGTTTGGGTATGATGAGAAGGGTGGGAGGGTGTCCCTTGAGATCTATCTGGGTCCCTGCCTACGGGAGATGGCCAGTCGGCCCTGCACAGTGATTGCAGCCAACTGATTGTCCCTGGCCCAGGTTACCAGGAACCAGTGGCACCCACTGGATAAGATGCCCCGTCTTGCCTTACGATTCCAGTCGGCTCGGATCATGCTCCTGATCAGGGCTTTAAGCTTTTGAATGATGGCTGCGTCGCTGGTCCACTGCTGTCTGAAGATGATGTTGTTTTTGTCCTCCCATGATTGAGCAAATCGCCTGTGCTACGTATCCTCTGCCTGTGCGCTTGAACCAAGATTGCGGCAGTCGACCAAGAAGCGCCCAGCCTACGTTCCATACTAACAGAGTGCCTACAGAGTGTCTCCAGTGTCTGTCCCACTATTCCCACAAGCACTTGGATGAGGGGCACGCCCAGATAAGATCGTGCAGGGACTCTGCTCTTCCAGCACACCGTTTACATCTGGTGTCCAGATCCATTCCTCTTTCGGATAGCCACATGGCGCATGGGACTATGGACTGTGAGAGCATCCACAGAAGGCTTGAAAGCTTTCGAGAGGGGATAAGAGGTAGTCGCTCCCAAAGAGCTCTGAGATCTTCCTCCCCACGGGCGGCTGTGTCTGCACCATGTTGTCAAGAGTGAGTACCGCCTCCCGAGCTAACGTTGCTCCATTGGAGAGTACCGCCCTGCCTGTTTTGGATGTCTATTGAAACAAGTAGGTCTTTTTCCCTTCAGGGGAGCTCCAGTGGTGGTGGGCTGGGTCAAGTCTCAGACTAAGGAGCAGGGTCCTTCGCAGAGCAGCTGATCCGCCGTTGAGGCTCCGACTGTGTGCGTGTGAACTTGAATCAGGGAGAGTGGGGTGCTTCGTGAGATGGCCAGCTCCCCTTGCAGGCGCAAAAGCGTATGTCCTCCCTTCAAGTATGTGGACCATTCTTGGGTAAGCCAAAAGTTATCGTTCAGCTCCTCCTTTATCCTCAGTATCTCTAGTGGTACCGTCGTCGGCTTTGCCAAGTACCACTCCGAGCCCCCCTCGGTTGGCCTGGTTGAGCGCAGGAACTCTTGCCAGTGGAGGGGGATGGTCGCACGAAGTTGGTGCAGTATGCTTTCTACATGCGGTAGGCGTCCCAGTCTAATCCTAAGATGATCTGCTGTATACCAGTCGTCCGCCTCCTCCTGCCACAAATCCTGAATCATGGATACACCTCTCTCTACCTATCTCCTGCCAAAAGCCCCTGCTGTCGCTGAGGCTGGGAAAGGCTGCCCTAGCTTGTTGGGCATCTGGGCATTGTCAAATAGGTGTTGTCTCAGCACTTCTTCTTTGGTCCCATACTCTCTCTTGTTGGGAGCTCGGAGCACTCGCCACGCCTTCCAGCTAGCGGCCACCAACATTGATTTAGGTTGGCGCCGTATGAAGAATGCCATAGAGAGACAAACCCATATGTCCTCCCTTCTGCTCAGGCCAAAATCCTGTTGTATAAGATATTCGAACACAACTAGCCACGTACGATTTTCCGTTCGTGTTTCCGCTTTCTGAAACAATTTGAGAAGGAGGGCAAGATTCTGCCTTGCTGGATCAATTATGCATAAGCATCCTTCCTCCTTGGAGTTTGTAATTTTGTGTCAGGCTCGCGGTCATCTTCCTCCGCTCCGGGATTCCAAAGATACTTGGCAGCATTCGAAGTGATGCGCTTGACAGTACTTTTGGAGATTATGAGGATGGCGGTCGCATACCATATCTGAGCAAAGACTGCAGAGGTGATGAGCAAGGCTCTGCCCATCAGTGAAACTCCTTCTGCTGTCCGACAACATGTCAAGGAGGATTCGACTTTGGCTAAGATAATGGAATCCTGCTTTGGCCTGGCGTCAGACAATAATACCTAGACCCCCAGGTATCGTTCTGAAATGTCTGACGAAATGTGTTTCATGCCCCGGTCCTCTCCCTCAAGAAAGTAGCCTGTCGGAAGGAAGTACAACGTTTTATTCCAATTGATTCTAGCCTTCGATACCTTTGCATATGCGTCCAATATGGGCTTTACCTCCCATGTAGTCTTTGTCGTGGCCTCCATGACCAGAAGGAGGTCATTCGCAATCGCCCCCGTCAATAGCGTGGTGTTGCCCAAGTCAAGGTCACGAATTGGGGGAGCCACCCTTATCAAGTTGAGTAGGACATCCATCTGGATCGCAAAGAGGAGGGAGGCAGAGCCTGCAAAAGGCTGGCCATAGCCGCACCCAGTTGCCCCCAGCCGGACCCGACAGTTGTGGGCAGGTCTGGCTAGCCCCATGTCCCACCCGGCCAGATGTGGCTAGGGGATTGAAGGATGGCCCACAGCTGGGCTGGGGTCAGTTGTTAGGAAAAGGAACGGGCCAGTTGTGGGTATCTTGCCCTGATTAAAAAGAAAATGGGTAGGTGTGGGCGGGTCTAGACCTGGCACGGGTCACCCGTCAAAAGATATGCATATAGGGGTCTACACCTATACACATATATGTGTAGGGGTACCGACCGCTATTTTTCATTCTTCCTCCCACGCTGCATASCGGCTACAAGCAAAAGGGSGRCAAATTGCACYGTTGTGGGAAATATTT